GGCACGTCTTTATTGTTAGGAATTAGAATCATTCTGTTAGCCTGCTCTTTGCAATTTGTTAGAGTTAGTTTAGCTCAATTCTAGAATCTTCTCACTACCAAATAATTGTGTATAAAATGGTATGTTTGTAATGATCAAAAGTAGATGAATTATATCTTTATCTTCCTCAGTTCTTAATTTGGTATCAGAGCCTCATGGCTAACATCGGATCTAGAAATCAGTCCAATCCATCAGAATTCAATACAGCTCCAGCTACTCAAGCTGCTGCTGGCCAGAACTTGGCATATGGAATGAATATCACTCGAACACCTCAGTTAAACTCGACAAGAATAATATTCTGCTATGGAAGAACATGGTTATGCTCATAATCAAAGGGCATAACCTTGAAGGATTTCTATTGGGGACAAAAGAGTGTCCACCTGAGTTTCTAGCCACCCAAACTACAGTCGACCAGGGAGAAGCAATCGAAATGACCCAAAATCTAGAGTTTCTGAAGTGGAACTCAGCTGATCAGCTCCTTATGGGATGGTTGTATTCTTCCATAACTCCAGAAATTTCTATGGAGGTGATAGGCTGCACTTGTTCGAATAAACTCTGGGTGGCAGTGGAGGAAAGCTTTGGAATACTCAATAGATCTCGTGTAATGTTCCTAACTGGCGAGCTGCAAAGAACTAGAAAAGGATCCATGACAATGGATCAATACTTAACAACCACCAAATAGTTAGCTAACAATCTGGAAATAGCTGGTAAGGTCATTGATCAAAGTGACTTAATTGCACAAGTATTATCAGGATTAAATGATGAATATACCCCAATAGTGGTTCAGATAAGTAGCAGAGATACAAATTCTTGGTATGAATTATCTTCAGTACTAATGACTTTCGAAAGTCGACTTGAACATTTAAATCAAGTGAAGAACAACTTCACATCACTTAATGTTAATCAGTCCAGTGTTCAGTTAGCACATCGAATTGGCTCAAGCTTTGGAAGAGGTTTTAGAGGTAGATCACCAAGCTTTAGAGGAAGAATAAAAGGCAGAGATAGAACTACAATTGGCAAGCAAGCTGAAGTCAGAGGGCCATGCCAAATATGTGGTCTGAGTAACCACTCAGCAAGCTGGTGCTACAATAGGTTTGATGAGAGGTACATGGGGAGCAAACTAGCTAACGCTAGACATCAAAACTTCAACTCAGCACCATCAGCCTATGTGGCATCACCCAGAGTTCTTGAAGATCCACCTTGGTTTGTTGATTCTGGAGCTAGTAACCATGTGACATCAGACAAAGGTAACCTTAATATTGTGAAGAAATATGAAGGTAAAGAGAGATTACTTATTGGTAATGGAGATATGCTAAAATTGCTCATATTGGATTGGTAAAATTTCTACACTCAATAATAAATCACTTGATTGAATAAGCTGTTACATGTTCCTTCAATCAAACAAAACTTGATCATTGTTAGGCTGGTACAATCCATCCTTAAGTAATTTGACAGCTGGTACAATCCATCCTTAAGTATTCCTTGCAGCAGGGTCCTCTTTGTTTGGAGATCCTAAGGATGGATTGTACCAGCCTAACGCCTATGGTTGTGGAGAGACAAATTTTCAAAGCTGAGGGGAGAGAAATGGAAGATCCTACTCTATATAGAAGTGCTATAGGTGGTCTACAATATCTAATCCACACCAGGCCAGACTTAACCTATACTGTAAATAGGTTAAGCCAGTATCTTCAGGTTCCAACGGATGCTCACTGGAATGCTCTCAAGAGGTTATTCAATATCTACAAGGCACGTTAAACTTTGGACTAACATTCAAAGAATGACAGCTCAGACATCACAGCCTTTACAGACTATGATTGGGCTTCTTGTCCAGATGATAGGAGATCTACTGGTGGATATTGTGTGCATATTGGTGACAATTTGGTGTCATGGTGCTCCAAGAAACAACATGTGGTATCCAGGTCTAGCACAGAGGCTGAGCACAGAGCATTAGCCTAATGCACCGCAGAGATAACTTGGATCCAGTCATTGTTGAATGAATTGGGAATTCCATAGCATTCAGTTCCTGTTATTTGGAGTGATAGCCTAAGTACGAGTACCCTAGCCTCTAATCCTATGTACCATGCACCTACAAAACATATAGAGTTGGATACACACTTTGTAAGGGATAAGGTACTTGAAAATCAGCTAAAAATACACTATATTCCCTCATCAGATCAGATGGCAGATTTGCTGACTAAGCCAATATTACCTTCAAGATTCCACGTACTCAGAGACAAGCTTGGAGTACTTGAACATACTCCACCTTGAAGGGGGAGTTAGAATTCACTAAACTATTGGTACACCTGCTGGTACATGATTTGGTTTCAGTAGACATTAGCACAGGCACGTCCTTATTGTTAGGAATTAGAATCATTCCGTTAGCCAGCTCTTTGCAATTTGTTAGAGTTAATTTAGCTCAATTCTAGAATCTTCTCACTACCAAATAATTGTGTATTAAATGGTATGTTTGTAATGATCAAAAGTAGAGGAATTATATATTCATCTGCCTCAGTTCTTAATTTATCAGAAGGCCAAACAACAGAGAAAAGAAGAACTATCAAGTTCATCCTCGAATCCCAAAGCTCAACCTTAGATATAATTCTTGTTGATCTAAAAGCTTAAAATGTCAGACCGTTTTGATTTAAATGGGTGGATATTAATTTAAACTTGTACACATTTTTTTGTATATGGGTGGCACCAAGAATATTTCATTTGAGGACGTTTTGATGGTATCACAAATATTTTATTGAATTACCTTATCCAAAAGAATAAAAAATTGTAAGCAAGAGAACAAATCTAAAATATGTCTTCAAAAGTTCTTTTTCATTTGTTTGATTAAATTGAATGAGATTAAAAACTAAAAAACAAAGTTTCTGTGGAGTTTCTCAAGATTTTGAATTTTGCTATAAAAATGCTAATATATTTACAAGTTTTCATCTAACAAAGTAGGAGCTGTTTGGATTTTCAACTCCATGGACGTGGAGAACATTTTAGTAAAATTCTAGCACTTAATTTCTTCATGATAAAACAAATTTATGCTACGTATTCTGTAACACTATAAATCCTGAATCCCATAGCAAGCGAAAGATAAATTCCCAGAATACCATCAACCTAGTTCATCCCCAAGTAAAAAAATGACCAGAGCCGAGAAGAGCATACTTTGCAAAGGCAAATCAAGAGAACAAGATGTATGAGATAAATGCAAGCATGTATCTAAATGGAGAGAATGAAAGATAGAGGAAGGAGAACATAATCGTCGGTAGCAGAAATATCACCTCAGAGCAAGAGATAAATGTAGGAAGTAGAAAATACGGTGACAAGAAGAATGATGTATTTATAGGTTCAGAGGTTTGAACCGTCATTGAATCAACAAAAGACTTGAGCCATTTGAAATCTTTTTGCTATTATAGCCGCCGAAGCCCAGGAGGAGCCTAACCAAGTTTCAAAATTGAATGGATGAAATCAAGCGTGGGCAGTACGCACTTTAAATTCTTATAGGGTAGTACCCTAGGAAAATGCAAAAAGGACGTGTCGTGTATGCTAAAAAATTGCAGCAATCATGGCATATCCCCACAAAAATGGCCCACGTCATACATCACTAAGAAAGGAAAATTGTGCAAGCTAGAGGTTCGCTGTGCTTCTATAGAAATAACAAGTCCTAAAGTTAATATGAATATTAAAATCGGACTTGGGAGACTATTTGTTAGACCTCACAATCAAATCTGCGAAATTAGCTAGCTATTAGTGAAACACGACAGGAAATAAAATGATCGCATAAAGATCGTGAGCCATACATTATATACATGATAATATAGGCTGTCAATAAGGTGCACTTGAGTGAGTAAATAAAGCGCGATTCATGATCGAATTGATTACAAGATGACTAGTAAAGAGACACCACTTGGCACAACTTAAAAATATCCAAACTACACCAATGATTGGAGAAAATCTATAAATGAATTATTCTACATGTACATCAAAGTTTATATCTTGGTGTACATAATGCCCAAGTGACATTTCATCATTGGCATGTGGAGAACTATTTTTCCACCAGTGGACAGGTGTCTAACCAGTCTCTGATTGAGTCTCTCAATGTATATGAGAAAAGCCTGAATCTAATTACTTTACTAGACACCCCCTGGATTCTCAACAGTTGAGCACATGTCTAGAAATCTTACTAGACACCCCCTGGATTCTCAACATTATCAAATTTCATGTCACCAATAGTACAAGGGATGGTAGGGATGGTAAAACTCCTTGGGTCCTTTCGTTTAGGTGTCAGTTATTTTGTAGGATGGCACTGCATTCTTCGTTCAACATAACCGTCCCCAAATCATCCGCCTCTTCTTATTTGTAAGTATCTTCTTCATGAATTTTGTGTAGCTGGGCATTTGTGCAATTGTGTCCACAAATGGTATATTGATATGCAGCTTTTTAAATACCTTAAGGAACTTTGAGAACTGTTTGTCTAGCTTATGCTTGTGTAGTCTATGTGGAAATGGGAGTGGTTGAGCGGTTTCTTTAGCGTGACCAGTTATCTTAACTTTTGGATCTTCTGATGTTTTTTCTTGTTCTTTGTTTTGCTGAGATCAGTGTTCTAAAAGGCGGCAAAATGCGCCACCTAGGCGCGCTTAGGCGCGAAGCTTGGCCAAAATGCCTCGCATTCGGGCTATGCATGTACAAATGTGGTCAACGCTTGCGTTGACCACTAAAATGCAAGCAAAGGCGCTATAATACGCGCATTTTTTATTTTTTTAATTATATATGTATATTAAAATTTTCTTTTAATTATATAAACTAACTTCCAACCCACCAATTGGCAGGCCCAGGATGCATATTAAGCTAGTGTCGGCCCATTTATTTATAGGCATAATTTCTTGTGCTTCCTCTATAGGATTCTGATGTGGGATTCCAATTGGTTGATATGTTTGAGTTGTTCTTCACAGTGCTTCCTCTATAGGCTAAATTTTATGTATATTCACCAGAGAATCAATAAAAGAGGAGGCTGCTGCTGTGCAAGAGCAAGTGAAGAAGATGATGGGATCCCTTACTATTGTTGGGTAATCTCGTATTATGTTTGGCTGGTTTTGATAATTTGATCTGAGGCAAATATACCAGCCTAATTGCTTAACCTCCTCCTGCTGCTGCTGCTCTTCGGCCGCCACTAACAAATTCGAGAAATAGCAGCCACCATCGTCACTGCCATCCTCCTCCTCAGATTGAATACCCTCCACCCCTATGGCCACACAACCCATGTAATAATTGTTCGAAAAATAGGAATCCCTACTATCCACAACCTGTGGACCTTTCTGATCATCCACCACTGAACTTCCGTCACTGCCGTTGCTGGGGCGGTCCTCCACCTTCACAATGAGTTAGACATGGGTGGTATCAGTTGGAGCATCCACCGGGAGTGGATTCGATTTCTCTCCTGCAGCCATTCAAATCCAAGGAATCAAAGTGAATCTAGGGTAGAACAAAATCGGGCGAAAATCTGGTTGCAATCTTGAGGCGCCTACTTTTGTATCAACGAACCCAAATCACCACCTAACTGGATTACATCCTGCACCTACAAAATCACCACCTAATTTGGAGATTAATGGAACCCAAATCACCCAAGATTGGAGAAGCAGGATTGCAAATGAATCACCCAAACGAATCCCATTATTGAAGACAATGAAGAGGCCCATTTACTAATGAACCCGCCCAATTGGATGGCTAAAATGGTCGTGTGCCTAAATGTAAAAATTTATCATTTTTTAATTATCTTTTATGTTTTAAGTTAAAAAATCTATTTTTTTATGATATAGTAAAAAATCTATTTTTTTATATAAAAATCTATTTAATGTCTTAAAAATAATTAAAATAATATTAAAAATACAAAACGTATTATGACGCTTATTCTTCGCATTGACACGCCTAAACTTGTGATTCTTGATTCTCGACCTCGACGCATCGCAATACATTACGCATTTTAGAACATTGGCTGAAATTCATCCAAATGCTACTCAACCATGGTAGATACCTTTTCATGTGTAGCAACTGGTCTCTTCAGATTTATCTCAAGTGGTTGTACCCTATTGCAAGTAGTTATAGCCTTGCAGTGCTCGTTAGGATTTATTTCAGTGTCACTAGGTAATGCTCCTCGTAGTCTATCTGAAAGTACATTTGCTTGATTTTCTAAGTTTTTTTTTTTTGGCAGCTCCCTAAACTTGCAAGCTCTTATCCATTCTTTACGTGTGTTGAGTAGATATTTTGACCAACATAGTCACAAGATCTTGTAATGAAGACTTATTCTCATTCTACTGAAAAACTCAATGTGTAGTTTGTTGTGGTGCAGTCTGAGCCCCTTGATTATTACTCCAACGAAAACCTGGGTAGTTTTTCTAGGCTGGGTAATGGGTGTTAGGATTTGGATTGTATTGTTGCCTTTGAAAATTCTAAGTGTAGTTCATATCCTCCATTGTATGAACAAAATGAGACCCTACATTACAATCAACGCTCTCATGGTTTCCACCACAATGTTTGCATTTCGAACTCATTGTTTATGCTGTGTTCATTCGATCCACCTTCTACGCCAATGATGTCAACTGTACTGAAATTGCTACTAATGAATCAACTTCGAATAGCATAGCATCTTTCTTCTCGTCCTCTTCAGTAGGCCAAAGTGCACTAGTAAATGCCAAATCCTCCATATTTTGTAAACTTGATCCACTATTCTTTTTTTATAGATCCATCACATGCAGAGTCTACATTAACCCTATTTATTCGATTCAATCCAATGTAGAAGTACTATTCCTGAAGCCACTTCTGCAATCCATGTTGTGGGCATTGGTGAAGTAAACCTTTGCATCGTTCACAAGCCTTTGAATAGCATTCAGAGTCTAGTTTTTGGAAAGTAGTAACTAATCCCTTAACTTTGCAAGTTTTTTCGACAGGAAATATTTGTTAAGGAACTTCTAATTCAATTGATTCAATGTAGCGATACTCTAAGGTGGACAAGTGTCTAACCACTCACTGGCTGAGTCTCTCAGTGTATATGTAAACATCCTCAGTCTTATTGTTTCACTAGGCACCCATGAGTCTTATTTTTCCACGAGAACTAAGTGTTTTGATTGAGTCAAAGCTAATAATACCCTTAATCGAATATCAATAATGAGTCGTAATTAATCTATGTGATGTGATCTAAGGTGTCGTTACCATGAGGACAAGCTCGAGGAAGGATCCGTTGATAATTGAGGAAGGACCCATAACTCGATCGAGAGCGAAGCGAGTGAAAGAAGCGATGACATTGCTTGTTATGGTTGACGGTGTGGCATTCATAACAAAGAAAGGAGAAAGTTCCATGTTGGGGTCGAGGTCGGAAGTCCAATGGATCATGCGGATTGAGGCTAAAGAAAGCGAGGCTGAATTTATGCCTATGCGGCCGCATAAACATAATAGCTTTGCAGCCGTGAAGGCATATACCGAAACTCAGAAGAGTTTTTTAGGTTGTTCCATGCGGCCGCGACCAAATATGCCATGCGGCCACATGGTACAAAAAATGGGCGAAATTTTTCGTTTTTCGCGAATTTCCTTATTTTGTTAGAATTCTATTAGATTAAGAACTTTTGCTATTTTGGCAAGTTAATTCCATTTTTTACCTAGTTTCTAGGGTTTAGTATAAATACTTATATCTATTCATTGTAAACAACAGACTTCATTATTAATTGAGATTAAATCTTGTGAGGCTTTTAAGCTTTCAACCTTGTTCTTCATTGAGCAAACTTCGAACTTATCAAGAATCAAATTCTTGTGGCGTTCAAACTACCGAACTAGATTCATTAAGCGTGTGATCAAGAGGTCAACATACTGTTGGCAATTGTGTTGGTTGCTTGGTTCATAAATCTTAGGTCGAATCCAAAACCTAGATTAGTTGGCTTTCTTGGGTTAGTTCTAATCTCGTTGCGGGTTGCGTAGCTACTATTGCTACGTGGTTCTCATCACTATGCCTAATTTATCACGTAACTAGAAATCAAAATAAAAATTTACCAAATTTGTGAGATAAATTGCTAAAATGTAGAATCTCCCTTGTTATTCCATTTTTAGTACAAGAATTAAAATGACACATTGTTATCATGCGAGTTGGTCAATATTCCAAATTTATTTAAAACCTTCTCTTGATAGTAATTAAACCTAATTTTACATGTGATCTTTCTATATCTCTATAAAAGATATCAACACACAATAAAACATTAAACAAGCTAGCATTTGTAGGAATCACGTGAATTATAGAGGTATATCTATATCCTCAATCGAACCTCACAATGCTTATTACTACATGCTAACGATCATATTATCTCTCTCTATGACAATAAAACCCACAAACAATTATTGATTACCGGTTAATTAACTTTTCGTTCGATTTGGTATTATTTGTAGCAAACATTCAAACAAGTTAACTTCAAGCTAATTATTGAAAGCAAACATCTAATAACAAGGGTTTATCTCATCCTAACAATGTAAAAATCTAGCCTAGCATATTGAAATTACAAGAAATCATTCTAAGTTTAATAAACATCACCCGAAAATTGAATAATTCAGGAGAAACCTTGAATTCTTGAATGACTTCCATGGATTCTTGATATCTCTTTAATTATCCTCCCAATCCTTGTTTCAATTTTACGGTATGAATTATACTAGATAACTTTCTTGCAATTCCACAACTGAAACCTTTCGCAAATATGAATTTGCCCTGTTCTTCAAATGGATTTCTCTATGATTCTTGATGGTCCTGAGTGTTTTTGCATGAAAAGAGACCTTCCTCGGTGTAGAAGACTTTTTGGTATTTATATGGCTCGAGTTTAGGTCAAAAATAATACCCAAAATCTTGCCAAGTTAAGTTTTAATCGTATAAGGAAACCTGAGATTTGACCGAATTTTATAACTGTGCGACCACATAGTTCAAGAATTTAGCACCTGATTTTTCCTGCAAAGTGACGTACGACTGCATGCCCAAATGCACTATGCGGCCGTATAGTGTAATTTTTGGCTACCTTCTTCTATTCTTTCACATTTTGGTCCCCGAACTTCTATGCATAGTCTTTTTCCTCCTTTCAGCCTATATTTCGCCCTCTTAGCTTCCAAGTGCATTCAATTTAACCCCTTGCATCTTCAATCGTCGATTCATGGTCTAGTTCAACTATTGGATTTTGTAACTTGGCCCCATCTTCTAGATTTCACTCTTTTTAGGATTTTCCCTTTGTTTCTTCCAATTTCTTGTTCAACATTGAGTTTTACCTAATTAACACAAAATACAACTATTTAGGATATATTTCATCAAAAGACCAATTAAATATAGTTATTTAGGCCCTGAATATGTGTATAAAATACACTTATCAAACACCTCCAAATTTAAGCATTTGTTTGTCCTCAAATAATACTATAACCTAAATAAAGACTAACACACAAGAGTGCAAAAATATGTGGTTAGATAATCTAACTTTTTACCTCAAGATTCAAAATCTCGGTGTTAATTCCACAAACTTTCTTCAAAATCACAATACCAAACCAAAGTCAACTCTTCCAATGCAAAATCGATGTATGTGTGCAAACCTCGGTGGTCAACTATATCCTTCCATCTATCATATGATTCACACACACCACCAATTTTCTTCTTTTCACTCGTTCCCACTGTGTAAACTAAGGTTTAAATTTGATTAGTCAATAACAAGCAATTCTTAGTATAATGCACAACGCAATAGTCTTCATAAATCATAAATTAAATGAAGATTAAATGTAAATATTTCTCGACAACGGCACCAAAGACTTGTTGTACGTTTTTTTATTGCATGTGTACGATATCGTGATAAGTATTATAACTAACCTATGAGTTCGAATGATCATTTTAACTAATACTATTATTTAATTCCTAATTTATTTTTTTAACTTTGAATCGAAGAAATACAAACAATAGTTTTTTATTAATTACTTAAATTATCTAATTATACTAAATTTTATCTAAAAGTACACAATTAAATCCAATTAGGATTTTAACATATAAAATAATGATTTTTCGAAAAAATGTATGTTTAAAAAGTAAGAAAAATTTTTGGGTTTATGTATAAAAATTTTTTATGGAGAATATGTGGTTGAAAATAACAAAGTTTTTGAAAAAATGGAGCCGAAACAGAGGCTAATTTACCTCTCTCGGTTTGAATTAGTCATATTCAATTAAGTTAATTAACTATATCTCTATGAAAAGTCGAATAGCCTTAAATAATGAATTCAATTTCTAAGAATTCATTTAACCATGACGATAACCATAAAAAATTATCTCTATACGTTTTGTCCAAATTACCAAATTTTACTATATGGTTAAAATCTATATTTACCTCTCAATTTTTTACAATTTCACAAACCGTTGAGTTGATGGACAATTATTCCAAACTATTAAAAACCGTACAAAATATTAAAAAATAAGAGAGGGAAAAGAGTTAGAACAAGAAGGATTAATTAGTACTACCCCGGACCACATGAAAATTAAACTACTAGAATCTTGATCATCGAAAATAATGGTCATACATAGATTATATAAGTTGTCCTAACTAATGATTTAGATATTCATACTAGTGAAAAAATAATAAATAAAGGATAGAGTTCATCACCGGGTTTGAAGAAATAGATAAAGGAAAAAAAATTGAATGTTGCA